GGCCGGGGTGGGGGACAAGGACAGACCCCTGGTGGGGTCATGGGGGAGGAATTTGGGGAGAACGACTCCCAATACACCCACACAGCCACAGAGCAGCCCCACGCGTGTCCCCTGTAGCCAAACCCCTGAATTTTAACCCTCTATGTGTTTCCTTGTGTTTTGTGACCCAGACACATCCCCAGGAAAGTGAATTGTGCTGTGAGGTGCCTTGGAAAACTTCATCTCTTAATTAAAAGTACTTTCTGTGTTTGGTGTCCCTGCCTGTGACAAGGGGTTGGAGTTAGATGATATTTAAGATCCCTCCCGACCGAACCATTCCATGATTTTTTTTCACCCTTGCGGTGACCTTTCTTGGCTCTGAATTCCCAGAGAATTGGCTGCTGGGACGTGCTGTTATTTTTGTCTCACATTGAGAGAGCTGGGGTTTGATATTCCCGAGCTATGGAAAACAGCATTGCAGGAGGTCCCGATGGACACAGAGCTGGTGGGGAAATTCGGTGTCAAAAATGAACATCTCTGCTTTCACTGAAATCTGTCTCATATCCGTTGACCACAGGGAAACCAGCTGTAAAAACTACTTAAAAAAATAATAACTTTGGATTGATTAAGCAGATTTTTATTTATTTTTGACCGTTAAAAGTTTCTGCAACTTCTGACGTTCAAGAAAACTCTGGCACAGGTCATACATTGGTGCAGCTTGCACAGAACACATTGTAACATCCTCCAAGGACGGTAACAAATTCCCATTTCCCCCTGGCAAAAGGGTACCAAAAAGTAAATATAATTTATACACCTGCCTTTCATGAAAGACTTAAACAAATATCTCTTTGATAATCGACAGCACAGCCGTAACTTTCAGTCCTATAAGGACATAAAAACGAGCTCCTGCCTTTACAAAAGGCACACACGCATCCTGAACCTCACAAACAGCCCTGGCTCGTGAGCAAGACATCCCGAGGAATTTCCTCTACATAGTTTGGGATACGGTTTAACCATTCTCAGAGCGTGCTCAGTACAGACTATAAATATTATAGAACCCCTCATGGCACCGCGGGAAGGCCAGATTCCCAAATGTGTCCAGTGAGACTCGGGGGCATTCCAGGTGTGGATGCCCTGGGAGCCCGAGGAGTCAGAGGAAAAGGCTCCTCCTGTAGGGGACACTTTTGGGAATTGTGACCGTTCCAGGGGTTACAGCTTTCCCAGCAGAACTACATGGACAACCTCGCGGAGGTTAAGAACAGCCATCGTTCAGCTCCGAACGACCCCTCCAGCCCTCCCAGCAGGAGGATACAGCTCACATTCCCTCGGAACAACTTTGTCTCCACTCGGTAGGATTCTTGCAGTCCTTCTGGCAGAAGGGGAGCTCACATCCAAGCAGAGCAATGACCTGCAAAGGGGAAATATTCTTCCCTACTCGTGAGAGGAGTGGAGGCGACTTGTATAGCAAGTCATGGTCTCCTCTGGAATACGGGAAAAGTCCAAAAATCACGAAATCCTGAAGTGCCAGTGCCTCCGAAGGCTTTGGAATCGTTTCGGCGCTGCTGGTTTTGCAGGAGGCTGGTGGGTGGAGGAAGAACCAGAGTCCCCAGGTGCCACCTGTGACCTCCGGGAGTGGCAGCTCAGCTTCCCCCGCGTTCCTGCTCCCGTGGAACGGAGGGACGGGAATTGCAGAGCCACTCTGGGCCACTGCCCGTCAGGATCATCCTGCTGCCGGCTCTTAGCAGGGGCTGCAAAACCTGAAAGGGCAGGAGAAGAGAAAAGTGTTACAGGGGGAGGAGCCGGCTGCAGTTTTTCCCAAAGGAAAAGGCAATGAAAGTGATGGGGGATGTGATGGGGAGCACTCACCTCGCCCGGATCCCGGCTCACACACAGCCATCCCCCCAGGATTTCGCCTTCCCCCAGCTCGGAGTTGGGCTGGTACTTCTGAAATCCCTTCTCCAGGAGCAGTTCCAGCTGCTGTAAATCCGACCCGGGGAGCTGTAACACAGAAGGGGAAGAAGGGGAGGTGAGCAGCGAGGCTTCCCCTCCGCAGCTCTCAGCTGCCCAAAGAGTGCGGCCGAACTTCCCGGCTCTCCAGCAGATACTCACTGTGTGCTTCCCTCCGGGCCATGGAGTGTCCAGGGAGAGAGCACCGCTATCCCAAGGGCTGCTTTCAGCTCCGAGTGGAGAAGGGAGCCGGGATCTGCCCTATTTATACACAGGGGCCGCATTACAAAAGTCTGGGTCCGGAGCGACTCGGAGTTTCCCACAGTCGCCAGCCAATCCATGCGTGCCCGGGACAATGGGAAAGCATCCATTACAGCATGGCAAATTGACTGTGAATTGCCTGGGGATAATACCCCGCTCCCAAAGGAGCAGGTGGGCTGGGGAGTGTGGGACACAATAGGGTTTGGCATCGCGGCGCTGGGCAGGGAACGTGGGAAAGCGTTCGCCGTCATTATCATCCAGCTTCTGCCTGATGTTGGGAACGTCAACATCTCAATGTGCTGCCTTTTCCCAGGCTGTGTTGAAATTAAGCACAGAAGACTGATCCCAGGAAGAGATAATGCTCTGCGCCCCAAAGAGAGGTTGAAAAGGGAAAGATGCAGAATTAGAGGGACTAAACCCTTTCATTGACATTAAACCGTGCTTAGATGAATACAGTACCAGATAATTTTCAGGCAACGAGAGACTAAAATCGAGGGAAGAGCCCTTCAAATAGTTAGCTTGAAATATTTTCCTCTCCATTGTTTAAAATCTCACTGTAAGTTATACCCAGAGCTCTTCCTTGCTTTTGTTCAGGTAATCTGGGCTTTCCTACTGCAGCCCGTGACATGTAATGATTGTGATGTCTTTCCCAAACATGTCCTGTTTAATTTCATGCCATTTTGTAAATGCCTCACTGTTCCTGAGTCTCTATCTAAATATATTTCCTATTTACAGACAACTGAGAGGGAGCAAATGTCAATTCTTGCCTACTATTTTGCTATATTATTCCCCTTTGCAGGAGGTACTACAGGTATGAGGCCCTCCTGTGACTTTGCTCAGTCTTGGGACTTCTCACCTCTGTGCCACAGGTAATGAAGGGGAAAGGACCAGACAAGATGCTGGATTGGAGCTGCCTTATAGCAATATTTTATTTTTTTTTCCAGGCTGTTTTATGCTGCCATCTCAAGTCTGCTGCCCCCTCCCAGCACAACCCAGTACAAACCCAGTCATGTTTAGGATCTGTCAGTCAGGCATGGGAGGCCTCATGCATTTTTTGAATACCTGTTTCTTACAACTACAGCATTGATGAAAACTCTGCTTATTTCTCGTGTTTGCCCTTCAAAATCTGACAGGAAACCTCTAATTTCCCTGTTAGTTGTAGGCATCCAGTTCCACCTGCCCTCAGCATCCCTCTCAGGGCCAAACCTGTGTCCATGGATACCTGGATAGCAAAGTGTCCCAGCACAGAGAGGACTGGTGAATAAAAGGATATAATTCTGCCAAAGATGATCCTGTAACCCGTTATTAACCCGAAGATTTAAAAACCTTTTTCACTGCCTGGATCCTCGTGGATTTCCATAAGCCAGGTGAATTCCCTTCCCAGCCCAAAGACACTTTATGTTTAGATGGATCACAATTTTAATTCTTGATGGTCGTCAAAAATTATAACTGAACACGGACCATGAGTCCTATTCAAAATCAGCTGGCTGAATTATTTTGCTAGTTTGTAATCTGCAGTATTCCTTGGAGTTGGGGCTGTCCCTGGCTGCATGAGCTCGTGCTGTTACTGCAGAGGGAAGCGGAGCTCGGGATTTTTTGGATCCCTCCCGGCATCACGTGGGATGAAGGGACAGCAGGTCCTGCCACGCACCGTATGGGAAGGAGGATGCTGGTGGCAGCCGCGGCCACGGCGAGAGGGGAGGGAAGCTCTGACCCAATTTTCAGCCCTGGAAATATGAAATGAGCGGTTTTAAATAATGCCACGCTGTCCGCAGCACAATGCCCCGGCCTCCAAAGGGCTAAACCAGCTCCCACTGATTAAAGCCTGATCCCTTCCTTGAAGGGCCGGGCAGATGGTGCCGCTGGCGTGGGCTCTCCCCGGGACCCTCCCAGGCACACTTCTATTGTCGGCAGTTTAACACCGTGAATGGGAAATCCTGGGAGCTGCGGGCTCGAACCATCTGATGGGAATGGTGAACCAGGCACCCTGCCCCGCTGCCAGCACACACAGCAGCTCTCTGCTCCCAGTCCCTTGGAAAGGGGTCACAAATCTTCCATTC